TACATTGACTTTCTTGATATAGTCAGATTTATCCAAAACTACGGTGGAGTTTCCTTTTATCAGCTTTTATGATGACAATGTTTTTATCCTGTTTTAGACTAATTAGCGCTAGTCCTTCCGATGCGAAGTTAAGTTTGATTTTGCCTTCTTTTGATTTTTTTTTCAGTGTTAATGTACATTGTCCTCGAATCTCTTCTGCTGTCGTCTTATCTATTCAGCTTAGTGCTACTTCTATGTTAGGAATGACATCCTCTGGTTTTAATTTACTAACTGGTACATTGAAATTTAGTCCTTTTTCAAGTACTTCTATCTCACTAGAGCTTAGTTACCTTGATGAGAGGTTAGTCACCCACTTTGTTCTGTCGATAGAGAATGAAGTGTTGACATCAATTTCATTTGTTGTGTTCTTTTCTTCAATTAGTTTGTTGAATTTTTCGATTTGTGTGATTTTTGATTTTCTTAATGCTTATTCTCTACCTTTTTTGGATGTTTCAACAACGATTGCATAATCTTTGTCATTGACCATACATTTGAGTTTGTGTTTGAGTTTTTCAATTTCATTTCGTATATTATTTAGTTTCACAGTAACTCGATGTAGTTCTTCTCTTAGACATAATCTACTTACATGTTCCGCTGCCGATGTTATTTTTCTTGAGGTAATTGGAGTACGTAGACGTAAATATTTCGGAATGATATGGCTTTTTAAACATCGACTGCTAAAAATCCGATAATTTGTGAATCTTGCTTCAGTTTGACTAAGTCGTGTGAGTTTGTTGATAAGCTTCCTAGTAGGAAGACCATAAGTATCATTGATATAAGAATAAAACTTGTGCACTGTGGTAGTTTTTTTTTAATTCCATTATGGGTAAATTTGATAAAGTCTCACAGTGTTATACAGTAATGTTTACTGATGACGTTTCGAGCGACATGTATTGCTCATAATAATCATAATGAGTAATCATCATGCATTTTATTGTTGTGAACCATGTTAGTTGTAAAGCGATTGTAGAGAAACTACGAAATGACGATATCATCCCGTAAAATTTGTTCTTCTAACTGCTTGATTCAAATACTTTTGCTTTAAATTTACCGTTTTCCGTCTACTTCCCTACTTTGCGTCTACTGTTGGTCTTCTCTGCTCTCGCTAATTACTTTAGTTTGATAGAAATATGTTTAATCCTCAACTGCCTGCCTTTATTCGTGCTAAATTATGCTCCTAATTTTTATACTACTCAATAAAAGTAAGTAGAATGAGTACAATCCTTTCATTTTTCTGTCTTCTTTGCGTCTTCAATAATCAAGTGGGATTAACCTCTAAGGTAGTAGCGATTCACTTACAGAATGCCTTTATGTTTGGTGAATAAGGGATATCTGAAAAGGAAAAGAACAAGAGGTTCAGCAAAGATATCTTTAAACGGTCTTAAGCTAAATCCGTCTAAATGTCAGGTAGTCAATTTCACTTTCACACGTGAACGTGACCTACAACAATTAGTTAGCTCGCATGGCCCCACTATCATTAACGGCACAGAGGTTGAAATTACATCTAATGTCAAGTACCTTGGACTGAGTATACCCATCGATCTTTCCTGGTCCTCCCACATCTTGCTAGTTACTAGAAAGATGTTTCGCTTAACGTTCTACATTAGGAAATTTAGGCAGTATGGCATAAAGCAGTTTTTGCTTTCTCAGTTTGTCAATTCTTGTATTCTACCCATCCTCCTTTACTGCTCCCCATTAATCTTTCCTGGACCACTCAAGAAAGACTTTACTTTGCTGAGAAGGGCAGGCACTAAAAGCTGTTAGTAAGGCAAGTGGGATATCGTTAAACCAACCGGTTAATACTATTGTGGATAGACATATGTCACGTAAGAAACTGGCGAATATTGTCAGACCCCGAGCTTCCTCTCTATACGCAACTGTCTCCTTGCATTTCATCTAGTAGAACTAGAAGCAGCTATAGGAGGCTATATGCTAGGACTCCACAATACCACATCTGTTATGTGATGAGAAATCCGTTAGGTATGACACGATCAACTTACTGCGGCACTCTAACAAATAGCCCCATTAGTTTTTGTTTTCCTTTCCTCGTTACTATTACACTGTTGTTCTTATCTTCTATTACACACCAATTTTATATTTCATATTCTGTGGTGCATTATTTAAAATGTAAACGCAAGGCTGTTCTTTTTATTTTTTATTTATCTTTTTTGGGTGTTGCATTTTGATTTTATCGTAATTCAATCACCCCCTTTTTCAGGGGTGTCCAATGGCTCAGCAGCAAATCCCTAGTCCCGTCGATTCTTTGCCATCACCTTAAAGTGATTCTAAGACTGTCTACGAGATATCGTTTCTTCTTCACACACAATCTTCCCCAATTTTGACGTCTAATCCACTGTCTTCTATTCGGGTTTCACTCAGGGGCCTAGTGTGCGATGTCACCTTGGAAGTCTCATCAGAGCAGAACAGCTCTAATCTATCTCTATTTCCTTTCACACATTTTTGGGCGGTAGAGACTTCCGGTTGGTTCATTCTCAGGATTTATACTGTCGCTTGTCGTTCCGTACCGGCCATCTAATCTCTTCAGTAGGAAAACAAGATAGCGGTTATAATAAAAACCTTCACCTGCACGTTGGAAATGCTCCCTGTGACACGTGTCAATTCTGTGAATCATGTAGAAGTAAGATGAGAGCTGTCTGCTATCTAAAATTTGTAGACATCAATTTATGTCCTAAATCTTTGCCGTAAGAAAAAAACTAGAACAAAGATGAACTCAACAACCAAACACCACAGACTTAGCGTGGGCGGATACGATTCGCAGATATATGCTCTGACCTTCAAAGAAACTGCTAAAAAGAGATGACACAATAACCTACAGCGAGAAAGCAACCAATCAGAAGACTCTGTTCCTCCGCTAATAATAACAAATAATAAGGTATGTAAAAATATATAAATATCTCTTGATTTCCTCAATAAAGTCTCTGCTGCCAGGCCATTGTCTTCTATCCTTACAGAAGCAGTAACTGGACAAGAGTGTGGTAAATTGGGATGCCTGTCTTCCCGATTCTTACAGTGTGCTATACGTTCCTTCATAGTCAAAACCGAAAAGAGCATCGACGAGAGAAGGCAGGCAGCAGTGTATTCTGCTGTTTTCATTTCAAATGTGAATTACGTGGCGTGTGCTACCATCATATACATGTAAATAGGGGATTGTTTATGTTGGTGGAACTTCCTAGTATTAAAGCAATGGCCATATGACTCCTCACTAGACGCAAGTGAATGCTCTTCTAAATTATTTGAGGCTTCGAAACAGTACCGAATGCCCATCAGGCTCTGGTCGTCTATGGAGGTGCATAATATCGCTATATAGTCCTCATATGACTTGATTTTCGTGTGACGTGTCCCATCCAGGCTGTCTTTTGATCTTCCCTTGATGATACGGCTTAATTTTTGCTTTAAGTAAACACAAGAATGTTGCCACTCCACAACTTGCATTGGTAGTCAGCCTTTCATTGAGCCTGTAGGTACCCTTCGTTCTTAAAAATACCTTCCGTGGTGGCGTGCTCATGTACACTGGGATGATTCGGTCCGATTTCAGTGCTTCTACACAGCTCCACTCTATTCTGTTGATTCCTCAGGTTTCAGTGACTTAACGGTGACAAAAACTACTCTTTCCTAAAGGTGTCGTTCACTGTTAACAAAATTACTTGTTGCCACGAATTTATACACACTTCATGATTCTCGGGCAGCTGCTCTAATTACTGACAACTTTCTGTTTGTCGAAGATAATAAATTTGACCATCATACCCAGAATTTCAACGTTTTCACACTCAACCATGAAACCAGAGATTCTTCCCACATCTGATTACCTGGCGTGCTCCTACGAACGCTTAGGTTTCTCACGCCCACTTCTCCGTGTTTTGAAATATCTGCGGATTTTTCGCGTATTCCAGCGCTAAAAAACAATTAAAAGATATCTGGAGACATCAATGGACCCAAAGCCTATAGATGATTCAAAAAAACAGCATACATCCCCCTGGGATGCATCCTTAATGATGGTTGTAGGATATTACCTTCATATCGATCGTTAAGACCCAATCACTACCTGTACAGTACCAGTAAGTCTGGAAACTTCAGAACTTAATAATCTAAGAACTGCATGTGTAATGAAGGTTCGTGAAGTCAGTTCTTCTATATGTGTCGCAACACAAAAAACATTTCCAACAGGTTACAGACACTGCACACCTTCTGTGTTGACGATCAAACGGCCAGAACAAATTGGCAACAAGAAACTCTGGCTGGAAACAGAGCAACCAAGGGCTGGTCGCACAACAAATATTTAAGAGAAAAAAGAGGTGGATTGAGCATACGCTGAGGAGACCGTCAAATGAGTAATGTAGTTATCTCTTTAAAATTTTAATGGTTTCCTTTGAGATAGTGGTGTTTAACGCTACCTAAGAATAGTAGACTATTTGTGATAAATAGGATATACGTTCCATAGTGTACTTGAAGTGCCTAGACTACAATTACAAGTCGCATACGCAAAGAACCTACGTTTAATAGGTTATAATTCGTTATCACAGTACAAACACATATTCAGCGGCTTTTTTCTCAACAATCCTGAACACAAACCAATATAAGAACAAAAACCAGACCAAACCTAACTGAAATACTATACGCTAGGCTTGATGACGCATTGAGGAAATAATAACAGTTTAACACTGACGCATTTCACATAAGTATTAATACGTTACCTATCATTCTCGTTAACTCTACAATGTCCTCAAAATAATTAGTAAAAGAGACAAAATTAGTCGACATAAATGCATACATATGCAAGGAAACAATAATCAATCAAGTTAAAAATAATTCAGAATGAAAGACTACATATCTACTCTAAAAAGAGTTAATAACAATCCAGTGAAAAAATCACAGTTGTAGAGTTGCTTTTATAGCTGCCTCATAGTTATCATAAAGTCCACTAAACACGCTATCCACAATACCTGCATCAGTTTACCTCCATTGGTACTGGTGTTGTTGGACCAGTCATCTTTGCAGTTTTCGTCACCAACAGATCCGTTCGGAGAAACGTTCGGATGTGAACCTTACAAGCGGAGACTGGGATTCTATATTCCTTCGAATACCTTCGGCCGTATTGAGAAGTAGTACCTGAGGGGAAGTATACATATTAGATAAATCTGATATCTCTGATCTGATCTGATAATTTGGATATCTCGGTATCGGTTTCGATGTTTCCAGCATTTACTGACTTACAGTTATTTTATTTCTCTTAACTCAGCCTTAAGTTCACCTACAGACAACTTTAGAAGTTCTATTTCTGAAGATAGCGCTGAAAAAGAGCTTAATGGCTGGAGTTTTTCGATAAGCACATAAGGTGAAGGGAGGGGTTCTGTATGAGCAGAGGGTACTGAATTTTTAGGAGTGGTGCTAACACTAGCTGTCAGTACAGTTTTATCCTCAGTTCCAGCTCGACGCTTACGGCATACAAGTGAGTTATGTGACTCATTATAGCCGTTTGTAGGGGGTGTGTTGCTTGATGTAGCAATCAAGAACGTTAAATTAGACACCAGTTTTACAGGGGAATGGGTTCGTCGATTTTACTTTGATTAACCATAACTATTAGAAATGAGAGTTAGTGGTTACAAGTAGGCAAGTAGTATAGTACTTGTGCAAGTATTACAACAAGATAAATTTTATGTAACGAATCACGTAAAAATGTAACGCAAACGTTGAACGCACAGCGATACAAATGCGATAACAGAAGTAGACAATTTTGGTTCCTCATCACAAATCCCCAAAGATTTTATAACTTCATTCTGACTAGTAATACCTCGTAAACTTGTGGAGTCAGAACTGTCCTCTGAGAATGTAACTCTCTTTTGTGGCATACTATTCAACAATGGCTTACCAGTTGCAACTACAGACTTCCTGACCGCACCGTTATCGTCACACAATTCGGAGTCAGACCTTGATTTCACATTTAGCTTATCACTGAACTTGCTCACTGATTCACAGTTCACCTTTGTACGCACCTCTTGCAAACGTGTAAAACACAACCGTGTTTGTCTTGCATCTTGTAACTTATCTGTTGAGGATGTACTACGAAACCCGTTACACTCACTAGGTCTATATGCATTACTAGACATCATGGAGCCTTCTCGATATCCACCTCTCTGCGGTCTATTCGTCATCAATGATTGCGTTTTACCCTCAGACTGCTCTATTCTAGGGGTGAGATTCAATATACTGGCAAACTTGCTCATCGATTGATTGACACTATCTTTTACTAGTTTCAGGATATCATCAAATTTTGGATCGATATCCTCTTCCTCCATACGGGAGCTTATCTTCACCCACTTCCTTTGCAGTCGAGTAGGTAGGCGTCTTGCTATTACTTCTAGTATAAAACTCGAGTTGAGGTCACTCATGCAATTCATAGAAATCAAGGTATTCTTATAAGTCATAAGATTATCTAAAAACTCAGTAAGTGCCTTGGAGTCATCTTGAGGTTGACTGCCGTTACCTTTGACAGCTTCGTATACGTTCCTTACAATCATTGAAGGTCTTCCAAACCTTTGGCGTAATATGCTCATAGCCTCAGCGTATCCCTCATTAGGGGGCATGAGCTTACAGCACTGCATAGCTCTTGAAGCATCTCCAGTGCAATACCTCATCAAATACACCAATTTCAATTCATCACTTAATAGAAAACTACTCAACATGATCTCAAACTCCTTTACAAATTGTAAATAATCAGCCGGGTTTCCATCGAAACACCGTGGTTCAAATTTAGGGAGTTTGATGTTCCTATTATCCCTGAACGGCGAAACAGTAACATCAACCATGTCATGCTTAACATCAGACACATCGTTACAATTAACAGACAAGTTACCATGACTTGCTTTCCTGTTTGCATCCAAGACACTCTGTCCCTTCTTTGACCCAGGCATTGTTGAACTTGACCCAATTCCAAAAACGTTCCAGATATTGCTTGTTCAAAGAGGACTTGACCGGCACCAGGAAAGATGAACGGCGACTATCCAAACTTTCACCAATTATTTGAATCCACCAGATCTGTTTCTATCGTCAGAAAGTGTCAATCACGTCTCATAAACCGTTATTGCCCAGCTCTTGCTACGCTCGGGCTCACGCTGTTCCTTGAAGTTTTCAGAAACGCTTAGTTATAACGGACGAAACAACCAAAACACCGATTGGCCACTCGACAATTATTTATTGTTACACCAACATATAAAATAATAACTGAACTAAGGTCTGTGAACAAATATTACAATAATATATCATAGTATTACTTCTGACGATGTTTCACTCTTCTTTCTGAACAGCGACCGATGAGACGATGATTGTCGTACTGATGCCTCCGCGAAAATTGGGGAAGCTGATTTTGAGCAAACAACCATGAATTGATCGTTCAATCTTCAACTCCTTTGACAGTCTGTGTTTATCGATCACCAGGTGCAACAAATGAAACTGATGCGTCATTAGTTATATCGTTTGCACACGTCTCCTCGTTTAGTTCTATTTACAAAATAATTGCAGTGGACCTCAATCTTCCAGAAATCAATTGGTTAACTAGTTCCGGCCCACAACTCTTCGACGAATTACTTGCCACTATCGACTGTTATGGATGGCAACAACACGTCAAGACGCCTATTCGTGGTGACAACATGTTGGACCTTATGATTTGTCTGGACACAATCCCAGTCTCCACATATGTTGGTAATAGGTGTTCCAGTAGAGACCACAGGACGGTACTCTGCTCCCTGAATTTCTCACCACTAACTACAGCTGCCAATGCAGCTGAAGGTTGAACGATCAATTCATGGTTTTTTGCTCAAAACCAACTTCCCCAATTTTCGCGGAGGCATCAATACACCAGTCATCGTCTCATAGGTCGCTGTTCAGAAAGAAGTCAGCAGTAAACCGTCAGAAGTAATATTGTGATTTATTATTTTGATATTTTTTCACAGAACTTAGTGGAAACATTTTATATGTTGGCGTTACAATAAAGAATTCTCGAGTGGCCAATCGGTGTTTTGGTTTTTTTCATCCGTTATTACTAAGCGTTTCTGAGAAACTTCAAGGAACAGCGTGAGCCCGAGCGTAGCAAGAGCTGGGCAATAACGGTTTATGAGACGTGATTGACACTTTCTGACGATAGAAACAGATCTGGTGGATTCAAATAATTGGTGAAAGTTTGGATAGTCGCCGTTCATCTTTCCTGGTGCCGGTCAAGTCCTCTTTGAACAAGCAATATCTGGAACGTTTTTGGAATTGGGTCAAGTTCAACAATGCCTGGGTCAAAGAAGGGACAGAGTGTCTTGGATGCAAACAGGAAAGCAAGTCATGGTAACTTGTCTGTTAATTGTAACGATGTGTCTGATGTTAAGCATGACATGGTTGATGTTACTGTTTCGCCGTTCAGGGATAATAGGAACATCAAACTCCCTAAATTCGAACCACGGTGTTTCGATGGAAACCCGGCTGATTATTTACAATTTGTAAAGGAGTTTGAGATCATGTTGAGTAGTTTTCTATTAAGTGATGAATTGAAATTGGTGTATTTGATGAGGTATTGCACTGGAGATGCTTCAAGAGCTATGCAGTGCTGTAAGCTCATGCCCCCTAATGAGGGATACGCTGAGGCTATGAGCATATTACGCCAAAGGTTTGGAAGACCTTCAATGATTGTAAGGAACGTATACGAAGCTGTCAAAGGTAACGGCAGTCAACCTCAAGATGACTCCAAGGCACTTACTGAGTTTTTAGATAATCTTATGACTTATAAGAATACCTTGATTTCTATGAATTGCATGAGTGACCTCAACTCGAGTTTTATACTAGAAGTAATAGCAAGACGCCTACCTACTCGACTGCAAAGGAAGTGGGTGAAGATAAGCTCCCGTATGGAGGAAGAGGATATCGATCCAAAATTTGATGATATCCTGAAACTAGTAAAAGATAGTGTCAATCAATCGATGAGCAAGTTTGCCAGTATATTGAATCTCACCCCTAGAATAGAGCAGTCTGAGGGTAAAACGCAATCATTGATGACGAATAGACCGCAGAGAGGTGGATATCGAGAAGGCTCCATGATGTCTAGTAATGCATATAGACCTAGTGAGTGTAACGGGTTTCGTAGTACATCCTCAACAGATAAGTTACAAGATGCAAGACAAACACGGTTGTGTTTTACACGTTTGCAAGAGGTGCGTACAAAGGTGAACTGTGAATCAGTGAGCAAGTTCAGTGATAAGCTAAATGTGAAATCAAGGTCTGACTCCGAATTGTGTGACGATAACGGTGCGGTCAGGAAGTCTGTAGTTGCAACTGGTAAGCCATTGTTGAATAGTATGCCACAAAAGAGAGTTACATTCTCAGAGGACAGTTCTGACTCCACAAGTTTACGAGGTATTACTAGTCAGAATGAAGTTATAAAATCTTTGGGGATTTGTGATGAGGAACCAAAATTGTCTACTTCTGTTATCGCATTTGTATCGCTGTGCGTTCAACGTTTGCGTTACATTTTTACGTGATTCGTTACATAAAATTTATCTTGTTGTAATACTTGCACAAGTACTATACTACTTGCCTACTTGTAACCACTAACTCTCATTTCTAATAGTTATGGTTAATCAAAGTAAAATCGACGAACCCATTCCCCTGTAAAACTGGTGTCTAATTTAACGTTCTTGATTGCTACATCAAGCAACACACCCCCTACAAACGGCTATAATGAGTCACATAACTCACTTGTATGCCGTAAGCGTCGAGCTGGAACTGAGGATAAAACTGTACTGACAGCTAGTGTTAGCACCACTCCTAAAAATTCAGTACCCTCTGCTCATACAGAACCCCTCCCTTCACCTTTTTATTTTTTTTTTTTGATTTTATTTTTGATTTACAGCTTGATTCCACACTGTAGTTTTGGTGCAGTATGGAATTTTCAGCATGGATATCGGTAGCCCAAATTTTGCAGGCCGACCATAGATATCAGGTGTGCGCCGGCGTGGGCTCGAACCCCGGACCATGTGCATGGTCGGCGAGAGTCCTAACCACTGTGCCACCGACGCACCTTATGTGCTTATCGAAAAACTCCAGCCATTAAGCTCTTTTTCAGCGCTATCTTCAGAAATAGAACTTCTAAAGTTGTCTATATGTGAACTTAAGGCTGAGTTAAGGGAATTAAAATAACTGTAAGTCAGTAAATGCTGGAAACATCGAAACCGATACCGAGATACCCAAATTATCAGATCAGATCAGAGATATCAGATCGCAGGTCTGTGAGTTGACACCTCTAACTATCCTCATGAAAACTGTATACCTTAGCAAGCTTGACACAGAATCGGTAACTAAGGTAGATAACCTCATTAACTTTGTTACCACAGAAGTAACAAAACGACTCGACGCAAAACTGAGTGCTATTGTCTACAACGTTTCGGACAATGAGGCACTAAAAAAGGTACAGCGCATCTTACTTAGTGAAGCGAAAATGCCTAACTCCAAGACTAAGTGCTATAGGCTGAAGAAGAGTCAACATGAAAAGTGTTGTCCTATTCGTTTTCAGTTCGAAACA